CAATTGAAGTTCACCTAAAAATTGACGTGTAGCCGATCGTTCCTACCAGTACAGGTGACTCCGTTCCCGGTGAAACCCTCGTTACAGGTACAGGTAAAACTGCCGTCTGTGTCAGTACAGGTTGCATCATCGTCGCAGTTGTCCGTGCCAGTTGCACATTCGTCGATATCTGTCAAATAATACATTAGTAACCTCCGTCTTGCTCGGTGGCTGGAACTGCCATGCTAGGATATATAGGACTGACTGGCCACGCAAGACACTGCGGACATATCACCAAAGGTCTACCAACATTCGATATGGATGGATGCCTGCTCCATCTATGCTCTTCGGTACTATTCTTACAGTCTATGCTGGTCAGCTGGGTAGCTATATCTCTTAGAGCTGAACCACCCTACGTAGTTTCCATTATAAAAGTCACTTTAGATAATCCATATACAATGGTTAGTAGGATACTGTGATTACTTGATGATGTATATCTCTGTCTGACAAATAAAATGATAGACCTAAGCCTCTACAGAATATCATCAGACATGGAAATTATTTTCGCGCACTACATCATACTCGTGCACATAGTTTCGCTTCTCTGAAATGCATTGACTATCGTTATGTAAGGAAAATATTTTGCAATTCTTTGGCACTGAATATTATTAATTTACCAAATTTAATACAAAGAAACAATTTATATAATGTTTGACGAATGTACAACCGAATTTCATGTTCTTACTATCACAGTCGACTCCGTCCCCGGCGTAGCCGGCGTTACAGTCACAGGTGAAACTGCCGATTGTGTTAGCACAGGTTGCATCATCGTCGCAGTTGTCCGTGTCATCTGTACATTCGTTGATATCTGCGGAGACAAGCAACACAAATTACCAACGCTAACTAAAGTTTTAAGATTTTCGTTGATGATATATAACTCAATTGAAGTTCACCTAAAAATTGACGTGCATCCGGTCGTTCCTACGTACCTGTACAGGTGACTCCGTCCCCGCTGTAACCGTTGTTACAGGTACAGGTGAAACTGCCGTCAGTGTTGGTACAGGTGGCATCATCGTCGCAGTTGTCCGTGTCCGTTGCACATTCGTCGATATCTGTCAAACCATAACAATACATTAGTAACCTCCGTCTTGCTCGGTGGCCGGAACTGCCATGCTAGGATAGGACAGACTGGCCACATAAGACACTGCCGACGGACATTACACCTGAGGTCTACCGTCATCTCTCGATATGGACGGATGCCTACTACATCTCTGCTCTTCGGTACAATTCTTACAGTCTATGCCGGTCAGCTGGGTAGCTAGATCTCTTAGAGCTGAACCACCCTACGTAGTTTTAATTATATAAAAGTCACTTAAGATAATTAATATACAATGGTTAGTAGGTACTTAGGATAGTGTGATTCGCTTCTCTGAAATGCATTGAATATCGTTATGTAAGGAAAATATTTTGCATTTTCCAATTTTTTGGCACAGAATATGATTCCTTTACAAATTTAATACAAAGAAACAAGTTAGATAATGTTTGACGGTTGTACAACCAAATATGATTTTCTTACCATCACAGTTGACCCCGTCCCCGGTGTAACCGGGGTCACAGCTACAGGTGAAACTGCCGATTGTGTTAGCACAGGTTGCATCATCGTCGCAGTTGTCCGTGCCATCTGTACATTCGTTGATATCTGTATATACCAACCGCAATAACAGATTAGTACCCTTGTCTTGCTCAGTGACCAGGACTGTTGTGCTAGGATAGGACCACAAATTGACAAAAAGGGCTGCTCACGAACATCACACCAGAGTCAAGAACTGGAGATCGCCAAGTGCCTAGGTGTAAGGCTGTTATATTTAGTGCTGGGCACGTATAACGGACATAAGCGGAAAACGATGTCAAAACCTTTACACTTTATGCCTACTTATGAATTTTAATCTGCCAGTTAAATACCTGGTTACTATTGACACACGTTTCATCCGTCAAGTACGTGAATATGCTACCCCACTGTATCGGCACCACAATAATTTGGCACACGATGTCTATAAAGCACTAGTGCTGAATAAAACTTATAAGAATTCTTGAGAAATAAAACACAAGAAAAGCTACATATGCACCCTGCTAGTAAAATGTTAAGTCATGCACAACCAAATCTTATGTTCTTACCATTACAGTTGACTCCGTCCCCGTTGTGACCGTTATTACAGCTACAGGTGAAACTGCCGTAAGTGTTAGTACAGGTTGCATCACTGTCGCAGTTGTGTGTGCCTATGTCACATTCGTCGATATCTGTAGAGACAAACCGGAATAACAAGAATCTTCTTGCTTTGTGCCGGAACCCCCGACCTGATGATGCTTTATTCCGGGACGGTTGTGCTGGGATAGACCAAAAAACGCTCTGTCCGTAGGCACAACACCAAGTGCTACCACCCTCTCTAAAGTCGGAAGTCTTTACCCTTCGTTTCGGACTTGTATAACTGTAGAACTTGATATTGTAGAACTGAACCTTTTGACGTTGTTACCATTTGTAACGTTACTTTTGATTATTTCTATAATTTGGTAATTATATTCAATGGTTTTCTGTACTTTTAATAGCATTGTAGACTGTCAAATCGTATCCAAATGCATTGTCTTTGTCAGCAGGGATAGTTTTTCGCAAAAGCTATCGGTAAATTTACTCTGGTTGTGCGCGTTGAACAGCCAAACCAATAAACAGGAGACTAAGTAGTACTGAAACTCAACGGAACCCCTTAAGGTAATGAAACCTTTATCTTTTTAACTGCATCGTACATATATTTTCTCTTATGTATTTTACGTATGAATGTTATTAATCTATAATTACTTGTGCATAAATGCAAACTATGAAACTTCTAAAAGAAAGGTACTCAATAGGGGCAATGCGTGGGCTCTAACAATATAATGTTTGATAAAAGTACAATAATTTTTTTAAGTTCTTACCATCACATGTGACTCCGTCCCCGGAGTAACCGTCGTTACAGGTACAGGTGAAACTGTCGATTGTGTCAGTACAGGTTGCATCAACGTGACAGTTGTCCGTGTCATCTGCACATTCGTCTATATCTGTAGAGACAAACAACAATAACGTATGAGTAACCTTTACCTTGGCTATAACAGACGCTGCTCACGGACATGCTACCAGAGTCTGGAACTGGAAGCCGTAGGCGTCGCCAAGTGCCTAGAGGTAAGGCTGTCCAAGTGTTGGGCATTCATCACGGACATAGTAGAAAAGGAAGTAAAAAAAACACATTCTAGCTACCACTAGCTACTACGTGTATATGCTGTCCCACTATTTGCTATGTTTTTGCTCATTAAAAGGCTGTATGTTTATAATTATTCCAACTTGCCCCTGTTGCAGATGGGGACCTGGCCGTCCCAGTTCCCGTTATTGCATGTGATGAAGGTGCTGACGACTCCGGTACACCCAGGTGCGCAGGTGTACGCGCAGGTGTCGCCATTGAAGTATGGACCTGGGGCGCACACGACGTCTACACACGGGTGGCTTGGTGGAGGCAAGCAGTCACCTGAAAAGAGAAATATGTAAGTTAGTTTGTTAGTAAGTGAGTGAGTGAGTGGGTGTGTGAGTGGGGGGTAAGTGATAAAATGTGTGTGAGTGAGTGAGTGAGTGAATGAGTGAGTAAATGAGTGAGAGAGTGAGTCGATGGGTGAGTGAGACTGGGTGAGTGTGAGTGAGCGAGTAAATGAGAGTGAATGAATGAGTGAGAGTGAGCGAGTGAGTGAGTAAATGAGTGATTGCGTGAGTGAGTGAGAGTGAGTGAGTGAGTGAGTGAATGAGTGAGGGAATGAGTGAGTGAATGAGTGAGTGAGTGAGTGAGTGAGTGAGTGAGAGTGAGTGAGGGAGTGAGTGAGGGAGTGAGTGAGTGAGTGGTAAAGAAGCGCCTGGTTTGGGAGAATTTTGGTTGATAACTACATGTACCATAATCGAACAATTAAACAGGTAACATATACCGTTCCATTTTTAGGTCTTTTCATTTTAAGTCCAAATTGTCCAAACAGTTAAAAAACCTTAAATCTACATGACTTTTGAGATACATTTTGAGAGTAGGTCTCTTCTTGTTATAAATTCTTGTTCCAGATGAGAAAAGTCGTTCACTCACAAAAAGAAACATCAGCGTCAACCCAGACCTCGTCTCTAAAGTCCTGCTCCTCCTCTATGTATTGCTCCCTGACTATGTCTTGGCCCATGACCACTTTTATGGGTACATTGGTGACCGGGTCTGTGGCTTCAATCCTCTCATCAGGTCGGCACAGGGTTGGTGCAATTCGCCGCAGTGCGAATCCGCCTCCCAGGTCGGTGCGCGGAGGGTAGGTGCAGTTGGTGTCAGGTCCGTACGTTGCGCTGTCAAACTCCACGTCGGCGCGCGAGTTGCGATAATCCGCCTCCATGTTGGACAGGTATTGCGCGTAGTACAGCGGGTACGTTTCTCTTAAAGCGGCAAGGGCGACGCTTGGTAACTCGTCTTCGGAGAAATTTTTAAAAAATCAAAGGCACGACCAGGTGACAAGAAAGGTCAAAACATCAAACTGTGGACATACAACATAAAACCCGTATCGCACTATATCTAAAGAACACAGCTAATGCAACAGTAATGGTAGTTTATCAATTAAAAGGTTTCCGCTTCTTGATAAATGTATGTATCGTTAATCAACTTGAACATGCATGTATGCTTCATATATATATATA